TAGAAACGTGTAAAATGGCGGCTAACTCACGCGCAACATGCTCCGAAAGATCCAATTGCATAGAGGTCGTTTTTTTCATCATTTAAAAAAATCGAAATTCATCGTGCGAAATATACAAAACTCTTTGTACACTTCTATTAGTTTTTTTTTCGCCGCATAATTCTGCAAGACAATCAATTAACGAAGCGACGTGATCTTGATCTTCGACATCTCGATCAGGAAAGTCAGAAGTCGCTCTATCCGACAACGTCGTTTCTTTCAAGAACATATAAAATATGCATGGTGATGCGTACGAAAGAATAATCTATATAATTCGCTTATAAGTCTGTACTTACTACTGTCTGTTCTTCGCATGCTGATACAGAAATGAAAAAGAAACGTTACAAACATTTCTAAAATCCTGTTGACACAGAAGAAAAATAAATTGTGACAGGTTTAAAAAAGAAAATCGCACTCTGTAGAGTTTCGTCGCGTAGGATGAAAAATATCGCTCGGTTGTAGCCGAGAGTCCGTTAAAGAATATACAACGATAATCGTGTGACAATTAAATACGTAACGAATAAAGTACTCGAGTTAATTAGCGTTCATTTCATTAAATAGAGGATAGCGATTCGAATCGTCCAGGCATGGCTGACAATAGGCACGAACGAGTGTGTACGTAATACGAGAGTGTTTCACGTGTCGTGTCCCAATAAATAGAAATTTTCTTTTCGTGTCTCGTCCAAGATCATTATCGGATACATATTTCCTTTTTCTTCTTCTTCTTTTCTAATCGTATTGATGTTCGCAACATATCTCACGTCGGAAACATAGTCTTAGTCGATAATAGAGATTGTGCACGCAAATTATTATCTTGTAATATGTTGTGTATTGTGTGTTGTGTGTGTGTGTGTGTGTGAGTGAGCGTGGATGTTTAATCATGAATTTTCCACGTGAAATTTTTTTCTTGTTTGCGAAAATATCGATCAATGCTCGAATTTTGAACGCGTAAATAAAAAATATTCCTAAATGTTTCGCGTATTTTTATACATTACAATTATAATTATTGGAATCTTCGTCATTCCCTTTTCGCCGGTTCATTCGTCTCATACATTTTGGAGGGAACTTGCAACTTTTCTTACTCTCGTTCTTCGCGAAAGCCTAGCGATTTTCTTATTCCTCTGTAAATCTTTAAAAGTCATCGATATAAGTGTCAAAAAGCAAATAACTCTTATATATCTCTTTAATAATAGCTATGAATGTGTGTTATCTGTATGTATGCGTGTATTTGTATGTTCCGTGAATGATAAAATGATCGACGACACAAGCGACGTGAATACTACAAGACACAATGTATGATGGTACATATCGTTTGCTTTCTTCTCAGCTAGAAAAAATTCGCGTTCATTTTTTTTTTTGTCGTTTTGTCTCTTTCTTTCATTGTTTATAGCAATTATCGTTTAAAGTTAGTGATTACGGGCCAGTTCCTATAATATATATACATTAAATTCAATATTTTGTTGTTATTTTTTGGCAATAACGTGGCAATCAAGCACTCGCACACGCCACTCGAAATTTGGGGGTATCCCCAGGCGAACCCGTTACAAACAGGGGAACTATATTTTAATAATTCTATAATGATATTTTCGTCATTCGTGTTTCAAGCAAACAAAGCTCAAAATACCAGACGGTATCGCCATTCGCATAAAGTTGAAAAAATTTACAATTAAGGGACTGTGTGTATGTATCGTGTATGTTATGTTGCTTATGGACATCCTCCTCAAAAGAATATCATCAATATTCCTTTCATTCATTCGTTCTTCTATCTTGATCTACTTGAACTTTTTTCTTTTTTTTTTTTTTTTTTTTTTTTTTTTTTTTTCGTTTTCTGTTAAGGCTAGTTTCTAACACGTGAATTCTTTCGGTTTTTCCGTCTCTTTCTTTCTCTTTGTGTCTTTCTCGTTTTGTTGTTTAATTAAACGTTAGAAATAAAAAGTAGCTTAAGCCATGTTCGATTGGCCGGGGTCTGTGTTCTTTGAGGTGGATAACGTGGCGTTCACGTTATTATCACTAACGTTACCACTGCTACCCGCGACAGGTTCTGACTGGCCTCCAGCATTCTCCGAAGTCTGCATGTACTTCGGCTTTAGGATCGAGTTTAAAGATGGCTGAATCCGCAGCTCGTATTCTGTAAAGTTAAATAAAGGAGGAAGTTCTCGGCCATTTGGTAATCGCGTACCCTGCTCCCGAAGTTCATCGAAGAAAGGATGGGCGCATGCTTCTAACGGTGTGATTCGGCCGGATGGCGTATACTCTAGGAGACCAGCGACTAATTCCATCGCTTCGGGTGGCGTGCGTGCCCTGAACACCTGCAAACACCCAAATTACGTTATTCGCTCTGCTTTTTCCCTTTTTTTTTTTCTTTTATCATTTTCTATCATGGTTAATCCGTGGTTAACAAGGACAAGTCTCGAATTCATCGTGTTTTTTTTTCTTTTTTTTTTTTTCAATTTTCATTTCTGTTCTCGTAAGAATATTCGGTTAGAGAGAAAAGATTTAATTTTTCTTGGCATTTCCTTGCAAAGAAAAATTATAGTAGAGGCAACAAGTTTTATCCGTTCAAAGATCTAAAAATATCTGTTATTTTCCATAATATTTCCATCCATATGGAAATGAAACAACGTTATTTGATTAAAGATTAAATAGAAAATACTCTTTCGTTTTAAAAATTAAAATACAATATAAAATATAGATAATTTTCAAAATTAACAATTTCCCCACGATTCTCTTTATATGATTCTATCGCTTTTCCTTGATTCTTGTCACGTGCAATCAAATTGTCAAATTGTCTCTTGTGTTCTTTCAAACATTCCTCACTTGTTACGAATACATTAGCATCGTTCGATACTTTTTAATCGTCGTCCATGGATATTTTACCATATCTAATTAAATATGTTTATTCATATATTCATCGAATCGATTGATATAAAATATCGCACGCTCATCGAAACGTATAGAATCAATAGTAAAAAATTATCTAGAAAAAGATAGATATACAAGAAAATAAAAATCTTAACCGAACAAAAACTTTTGCCTCTATTATACGAAATCACACAGCATTATATAGATTGAATGGAAACCTATAACGGCAAGCAATAAAAATACGGCAGCAACGCGTTTTTAAAATTTAAAAATTTCTGTCTGATCGGTGTATTAGGTGACGTATTGTTATACTTGATCATTAGTAGATATGAGATGCTTCGACTTTGATTAAATTTTACATTTGTTTGTAATACAAAATTTATCGATTCGGGATTTGGCCTTTTGAAAAACAAAAAAAAAACGCATCTGGTGTATATCGAATTTTTTCTGTTTTTTTTTTTAACAAAACGTATTTACTTGAAAAAAAAAAAAAAGAAAAGAAAGAGTTTTGGACGTAGAAGATACGTAACAATTCGTGATCGATATAAAATAAATTATATCGAATATTTGGATGGAATAAAAAACTGAGAAGAGGAAAAACGAATCGTAAGATGATTTCGTGTCAATTTTTTGTCATCTGTTGCAAGGTATAAAAAAAGGAAAAAAGAAAAAAAAGGAACAAAAAGAAAAAATATATTAAATCGATACGAATTATTGCATATCGATTTTGAGACATTAGGAGATATTTTCGTTCACCACCAGAACATTAGAGTAAGTGATACATACCGAGACTTTGAACGGGATTATTAATGTTAAAATACTTTTTTCTTCTTCTTAAAAATGTTAATAATTGATTAAAATAAAAAAAATAACGACGATAATGAGTCGGTCGGAAAATGAAGATGAAAATGATAGAGAAGATGGATATTATACGTGAGTTTGAGAAAAGATGAACGTCGAGCGATTCGTGATGCAGAGAATCAAAATGAAGATGGTTCTCGTTTTCGTCGGGTTCATCATCCTTCGTTTAGCGTAATTGAGCATCGTATCTTGATTATTTTTATCATTTCAGATGCTGAAAATGTTGGTTACGTTGGTTAGTATAATATCACGGACTAGAAAAAGAAAGAAAGAAAAAAAAGAGAGAGAGAGAGAGAGAAAAAAGAAATATTTGCTAGCCAATAAGTGATAATATAAAGAGAAACATTGCGTTTTCAACAGGGGATCACTTACTCTAATCTTTTGGTGCTCCGTGGAACACTTTAGTCCACTCATTCGTTGAAGCATAAACTGTAACCACGAGTAACCATGTGTCGGTGAATGTGATTAGAATCAATTCGTGTTGCAAAACCAATTAGATAGAACGAAATCTTACCCTCGAACGTTATTCTTCTTTTTTTTTTTCTTTTTTCCTTTTTACTTTTATGTCATATCATACAAAACATAGCGACAAGAAACTTTGTTAAACCTGTGCAAAGCAAGTACGCATTGATTTCTTTCTTTTTTTTTTTTTTTTTTTTTTT